TGGCTGCTTCCCCCAATCAGCCTAGCTTTTCCCCGCTGCAGCCCTCTCCAGGGCTGCTTTATCCCCTTCAGGCAGGAGCGGGGTGACCACCCCACTACACCTCTGGACTATGAACTTATATTAATGGGAGGATTCTAACCAAGGGACTGAGGACCTTCCAATGATTTGGAACAACCAGTGACTTAACAAACCAGCACTTTATTCCATCACTGCTACAAGCCTGATCCAAGAACTTGGATTGTTTGTATTTGATTCCTTTAACCAATTTTAACTCTCACCTTTCTTTCTTTTTATAAATAAACTTTTAGATTTTAGATACTAAAGGATTGGCAACTGCGTAATTATTGGGTAAGATCTGAGTTGTATATTGACCTGGGTGTGTGGCTGGTCATTTTATTTGATTGGTTTTAAAGAACCACTCATCTTTAAGTCTAGTGTTTTTGGTGGTGATACAAACTCTGGAATACCTAAGAAAACTGCTGTTCTGACTTCTCGTTAGCCAGTGTGGTGAAACAGAAGTTTACTTTTTTTGCTGGTTTGGTATAGCTTATGGGAGAATAACCACCAGTTTTGGGGTGTGTCTGCCCTATTTCTCAGCAGCTTGTCCTGAATTTGGTATTCTCAGTTGTGACCCACAAAGGCACAGTTACACCACCACAGCAACGATATATCTGTTGTTATGATAACTGCTGGGAGAAGGACAAGTGAAAGGGACTCCCGCACAAATATTGTGAGGGTATTTCCACCAATTGAGAGATTCCTTTACAAAGATGGGTATGGAAAGTAGTGTAGTTAGACTGTTTTTTCTGTGACTAAACAGTCCTCAGCCACCCTGAAGGCATCACATGTGCAGTCTTGTATGTCTATAACGAAAGTAGCTGCTGCCATATGCCCCAACAGCTGAAGATAGCTCTTGACTGGGAATTTGAGAAGTGATCTGGATTATATTGACTATGTTGGATAGGCCCATGAATCTGTGCATTGGGAGGTAGGCACTTGCCGCCCTTGAATCAAGATGAGCTCCTATGAATTCTAACTTTTGCACAGGGGTTAGGGTGTATTTTTTGAATGTTCAATTGCAGGTCCAATTTGAGAAAGAGGTCTATGGCTTTGCAAGCTGCCCATGAAGTTACATCCAGGGAGCAACCTTTCAGAGGTCAATTGTCTAGGTAGAGGAATACCATAATTCCTTCACTGTGGAGATGTGATGCTACTACTGACATAATCTTTGAAAAAAGAGAGCACCCTGTACTGAAAATGGTCCTGACTGACAGTAAAACTTAGGAACCTTTTGTGGAATGGGTGGACCGCTATATGGAAATATGCATCCTGGAGTTCGAGGGCTGAGAAACAATCCCCTTGGTCCAGTGACAGAATTACTACTGTAAGTGTCACCATTTTGAATTTTTGTGCCTTCATAAAGGTGTTGAGTAGTCTTAAATCTAGGATAGGTCTCCAACCACCATTCTTTTTTGGAACTAGGAAATATACGGAATAAAACCCCTTTCCTCTGTGCTGCATGGGAATCAGTTCTATAGCACCCAAGAGAAGAAGAAAGTCTATTTCCTGTCATAGCAGGTTCTCATTAGGGGTGTCCCTGAAGAGGGATGGGGAAGGAGGCTTAGCAGGTGAAAGAGAAGTGAAGTGGATGGAATCTCTTGTGGAGATGATGCCCAAAACCTACTTGTCCGTAGTGATAGACTCCCAATCCTGCCAAAAGTGGTAAAGGCGATTGCTAAAGGGAAGAAGGCAGGTGGAACATTCCAGTTGGTATGAAAGGAGATGGCAGCTCAGGATCTTGACCATCCCATGAAAATTGGTGCTTCAAGGTGGAAGGTTATGTGGTTGAAGTTTGGGAAGTGGCTGGTTTTCTCCTCTGGAACCTGTCTCTTGTGTTGAGGTTCTGGGAACCTGAGAATTAGGTGGGGTGGGAATCTCTCTGGGATCTTCTACCATATTCTAAATCTCCTTATAAATCCTGAGAGCTGAAGCCAGGAGTCCCTCCTCATAACTACCACTGTAGAAATCAAATGAGCAGCAGTATCTGCAGCTTTCAGAGAGGCCTGCAAAGATGTTCTGGAGCCCAGTTGGCCTTCTGCAATAATTGCCTGTAATGGCTCTCTGTGTTCTGCTGGTAGAATGGATACTCAGTAAAGGAGTTCAGCTTGGTATAATGTTAATGGTTGCACTTTGCCATTAACACCTGGTAGTTGGCGATTCTGAATTGTAAAGTAGCAGATGAATATAATTTTCTACTGAACAGGCCGAGGCACTTATGGTCTTTATCATAGGCCACAGATTTAGCACGATGCTGCCTTCCACGTTTTTTAAGCACCTCAACCACTAAAGAGTTAGGAGATGGATGAGAAAATAAAAATTCTGAGTCCTAAAAGGAATCATAATATTTTTTGTCTGCTCTCTTGCATGTGAACGGAATTGAGGCCATGGTCTGCCAAATAACCTTTCCAGGGTCCAAGAGGATTAAGATGTATGAAGGATGACAAGAAGCTTATAATGTGATTCTTTAATCTCTGCAAGAGGGAGCTGCAAAGAATCCGTGATCCTCTTAGAACTGTTTAAAATCATCAGCCAGAGATGGTGGAGGTGGCATGATCACTTCATCCGGAGATGAAAAAGAGATGTTAGTTGGTGGAGAGATCTCTTCATCAGTCCTAGCTTCCTGTTCCTCAAAGGTTTCTTCTTGATGTTTCAATCTCCTGGAGAGGGCAGGTGATGAAGGTTGTTTATCTCTTTGATAGGTAGTGCTCTAGGCCCTAGAGAATTGCTGGTGATAGGCTACCCACAGGTCCCAGTGTAGTCAAGGAGGTGGTATATATGGCATGGTTGGAGGCATCCATGAGTGCTCATTCCAGTGAGATAGTGGCAGTGGATGTCTCTCAGGAGTAAGATCAACTTCCTCAGAGACCTCTGGAAGACAGCCTCTATAGGGATGGTGTGGAGAACCTTGGACAGATATTTGAGAGACTGAGGCAAGATCTTCAACAGAATCCCCCTCTTCCAACTCACTCTGAAATAGTGGACCACCGGAAGAAACATGACATGTAACTGTCGGTACTGGGCAAAAATCTGAAGATCTGGAGGTCCTTGGTACCAAGAATATATCAGAATTGAGCAATGGTGAGTCAGGCATTTCAAACCTGCAGTACCAAGAATGTTGTCGGTACTGTGTCCATGGCCTGCACCGAAGCGACAGTTGGTGAGGGAGTTGACAATACCATGAATCCCAAATGCTCCAAGGGGAGTCCAGACGAAGCTTCTTCAATACCAAGCGAGAAGAGGAGGACAACTTGGAGCCTGGGATTTTTTAGTCTTTATACTTAACTGTGCCCTCGGTACCTGAGGGGCCAGCAGTCTCATGGGTACCAGACAGCAGTGGGCACCAAAGTGGCTGAAGTCATTGGAGACCTTGACACCTTTGAGGTAGATTCCCTACCTGGAGAATTCGAGAGACAATCTTTGGGAGTCTTATGAGAGGAATCGTGGATGTTCCTCTTAGATGCCCCTGAGGAATGCGGTTCGGAGACAGTGAAGGAAGCAGACTTACTCTGAGACTGGCATATGGGGTGTGGGGGGAGTGTCTCCTGGCCAGCATCAGAGGCCACACTTAGTGACCTCTCCATCATGAGGAATTTAAGTTTGATCTCCCTGTTTTTTCTGGCTCTAGATTTTAATGCCAGACAGAAAGTTGCACTTTTGGGATATATGAGATTCCCTGAGGCAACAGATACACCGGGAGTGTCTGTGACTCATCGGGATTGCCTCTTGACATAAAGGACAGTGTGTGAAACCAGGAGAAACGATATAAAAGCTATATCAATAAATAATTTGGGGGAGGAGGTTAAGTTTTTTTTTAAAACTACAACAGCTGAAACTACTACTAACTACTACTAAGAACAACTATAATAAACTAACTACTAAAAGAGCTAAGGGGTCACAGTTCAGGTAAAACTCAAAAAGGACAACTGCTAAAGCTCCGCCTCAGGCCAAGGCAGGTGAGAAGGAACTGAGAGCGGTTCGCCCATGACGTGCTACATAACAACAGCATGGAACATGTGATTAACATGCATGTGCAGGCCGAATGGACACTGCTATGAAAAATCTCCAATCAAAGGCACAGGGAGCACAAGCACACCTAGAGTGGAGCACCTATAGGGACACCACTCAAAGAAGAACAGGGTGTTCTATAGGTGGCCCTTCATTCACTTAATACCAATTTCCTGTTCTGTTATTGCTGCTAAACAAGTTGGTATTACATCTATCTAGGGCTTTTCTAAGGGCTTGTCTATACTTACAATGCTACAGTGGTGCAGGGCCACTGTAATGCTTTAGTATAGACACTACCTTTGCTGACAGGAGGGATTCTCCCATCAGTGTAGATGATCCACATCTCTGAGAGGCAGTAGCTAGGTTGCCTAGCGCTGTCTACACCAGGACTTTGGTCATCTTAACTATGCTGCTCAGGGGTGTGTGGATTTTTCACACCCCTGATTAAGGCAATTATGCTGACCTAATTTTCTAGTGTACACCAGGCCTAAATCTTTTAAGGCCCAATCCTATGAATGCATATGCAATGACAATACTCACATGTGTAAATTTACTTGTCTGTTTGAAGGATTGGGCCCTACGCTCTCTGTTCAATGTTCATTCATAGAGTAATGCATCAAATAAAAGATCGTCTGAACAGTTCATAGGCCTACAAACCAAATCCTTGGCCTGCACATTGTACTCTCTTTCTCTCACATGTCCCACTGTGCACAGAGAGCCATAAAGCAGCAGTCTCCCCTGCACATGCTCTCTGACAGCACAGCAAAAACACACCGTGATCACTGTGTTTTGCTCCTGTGTACAGGAAAAGGACAAGCGGGCAGGAATTGACCTAAAATAACTCTCTAATTTTTCTACTACCTGGGCAAAGTTTTAATTCTACTGCCATCAAAATTAGTGACTACACATCATACACAGAGACAATAAGCTAATACCTTAATCGTCCACATTCCCGGTTCTGGATCTTTTACATTCACCACCTTTGCAGAGTTATGGATATTTAGCAACTCATTCAAGCCAGATCCTTTCCTCATCTGCTTACCTAAAACACAAGTAAACATGGAGTAAATATATTTCTCTTAGCCATGTCACACATATGGTTACTATATGACTTATTAGCTAGCTCATTTTATGATATTTACCGTAATCTCCAACTTCAAGCTGTTACTGGAAATTCTTTGTCAGGATTCTAAAAATGCTCAAAGAGTCATTCTAACTTTTCCATTCATTTAATAACTTTAATACATCTCTGTGTGGTGAGTAATGACTTACTGATATAAGAATCAAATTATCAGGCAAATAACTTTGTCTTCTTCCCAGAACAAACTGATGGCAAATGAGAGGTAGAGGTTCGGTGGCAGATGCTGTCTATGGCCAGTTTTCATTCAGAATTTTAGAGAATTCTTCCATCAGTGATGGCACTGATAGTACTGACCAGCTGCCAGCATGCTCACCCTTCTGTCCTCTAGACCTGCACTTAGCAGGGTAGATGGCATGGTGGTAGAAACACTGTTAGCCAGTCCCACTAGCAATTCCACTGTTTCTAGCACTGTTGGTGCTGCACCAGTGTATTAACTTTAAGGAAGTTCCCCACTCTTGTTCAAACTTCTTAAATTTTCATTGTGAATTTAGCCTGGCTATCAGGTACATTCTGCCTCAGTAAGGGAGTACCAGTTTTCATAATGTCTTGGTACTCAGATAAGTTTATAGGCTAGAATTGGTTCTCTAAAGAGACGCTCAATTACCTACGCTGCTAATCATTAAGTGCCATCCATGGCTGAACAATATGAGGAAGAGCTCCAAAACAACAGATGAGGCTCAAGTGCAGGAAAAGGGCTCAAGTTTGGGTACTGGATATATGGGCCACATTGTTGGCTGATGTATATTGGCATATCTCCACTAATTTGGAGCTATGCTGATTTAAACCAGATGAGAATCTGGCCCTTAGAACATGAACAAGAAGGGCCGATTGGCTATATCTGTCCAGATCCTCAGAGGAGGCTGAGAAGCACACAATGCAGGTGAGCATTCCTTTGATTCTGAGTTGTGAGCATGCCAGATTGGTCCCTGGTGTAAATTAGAGCAGCCTACCAGGTACTGATATAGCTGACAATTAAAGGGGTAGAGGGACAGACTGGCCCTGTCCTTTTCTCCCCAATCTTCCCCCTGATGTCAGCAGTGGAGGGAGGACGAAGAATAGGGACCTCTGTGCCACAAGTGGTGCATCCCATCGAAGTGGGGTGATCTTCCTGGGGCTGTACACGAGGGCGTTGGGGCTGGGTTGTGCTGGTGGTGTGTCACAAGCAGCTGCACAGCACAGCCAAGGATCTGGGACGTTACAAAGTACAAAGGGATGGAATTGTTTTCTGATTCAGGCCCTGATCCTGCAATCAGAGAGTACCGGATTTAGTGCTTAATGCAGCAAATAGTCACATTGAAGTGAAAGGGACTACTCAGGGCAGTAAACCCAACTCTGGCAGTCCATGTTTACAGGATGAAGCCCCCGGACATGATAAACTGAAAGCACTGTCATGCAACCCTTAAACGCATTTTCCCAGATTACCCATGATTTGAAAGTCACTTTAAACAGCAAAGGGTGATATGCATTTTTAAAGTGTATTAAGTAAACAAAGCACATCTGGCAGAGCTAGTATTTAAGGCAGAACACCACACATAACTGTGTTAATCGTGCTCTTCAGAGACACACTCTAAGCAAAGTCCCCCTTCCTGTAAACAAAGGAGGAATGCCTCAGATGGAAGACTTGACCGGGGTGCCTTGCAGAGAATCCATGCTGTGAAAAGGAACATTTCATAGACACTTTAAAGAGCTCAAAATAAATCTCCAGCTGAAAGTCACTCAGAGTCCAGAATGCACAATCTTGAATTTTAATTTCTGGAGCATTACACAGGCTCCTAAGGACTCTAACTTATAAAGGAGTAATAATCTATTAAAAATACCTTTATTTATAAATAGTATTCCAGATCAGTAACCTGCATTCTTTTTTTCACCACTAAATAACTATGGGCACATGATGCAGAGTTTGAATTGGAATGTTCTCATGGTTCAGGTGTGTTTGATTCTTGGTTTTGGTTTGGTTCATAACTAGTAAGGGCCAGCTACCATATTCAGGTATGTTCAGATGCTGAGCTCCAGTTCAGCCCTGCTGTACACATATGACATGATATAGCCAAAACCGATATGAAAACAGACAGAAAAACATTTGCCATGTAAATCAGATACTAAATAAAATGGATATGGTAGAAAATCATCAAGGGTCAAGAAAGAAAAGTTGTATGTTGTGGTTGTGGTGTCATCAGAGGGCACAGCTGTTAAATAAGATAATTAAAAGACTTTATAATGGCATTAAAAGACCAAATGCCTTCATGCTAGCAGTGACTATTTACAGTGCTATCACTTTTAGAATTGGGCAGATCCATACCTCATGGCCACACTAAAGAAAACCCTTCAGAGTAATTCATCTGTAATACTAGATTGGATAAAGCACTAAAAACCACTGTAGAATAGAATTCTGCACTAATTGGGGATTTTTCATGAGAGTTTAACAGATTTAAGCACCCACCTCCCTTAAGCCCTTTTGAAAATCTCACTCTGGATCTTCCAGGTCTCTCCCCAGATGAACAAAATCGGCCTTTTTCATGATTCTAGGACTCATCACTCCAGAATACATTCTTGGAGCAAGTAGGAGGAAAGTCCCCGTATCTGTTTTCAAAGTTTTACAAACTTTATTTTCACTGAGAAAAGCATATTTAAGAGTTGGTTACTCTCAAATAGGCTTTTTCCAGTCAACTTCCAAAACAATAGCTTAAAGTGTCAAAGGGAGGTGGGTGCTTCTACTGTGAAGCAAATATTGAGCCAGACAACAATCCCAGTTACTGCTGTATAAATTCAGAGTAACTCCACTGAAATCAATGGATTACTTCAGATTTATGCCAGTACAAATCTGGCATAAAGTGTAAGATTTTTTTTAGAACTGTAAGAATTTCTTTCTTGCCATGGAAAGCATACTTGAGCATAAGCAATAAAGCAGGGGAAACAGTGCCTATTTTGTGAATAAACACAAGCTATTCCAGTCTTCGAAGCTAGCAATGTGGCACCCTGCATGCAAGCAAGTTAATTAAGAAAAGTCAGGAAGTATTTTAGCCATTTACATTTCTGGGAATTATGTGATTAAACTGCTGAGTAACCTTCTGGCTATATACTCCTCCAACTTTTCTTATAGACTGATCAGCTAGGTTTCAAAATAATACAAAGAAGTTTAGACCCAGTCCTGCTCCCACTGAAGTCAATCAAAGTTTTACCACTGGGCTCGTAGTTGCATCAGTATAAATTCAGAGTAACTCTCTGAACTCAGCTGAGTTATTCAAGAGCCACATAGGTGTACGGAAGCAGAACTTGGTCTACTGACTTCAATGGGAAAAGGACCTGGCCTTTCCTGTTGGAGAGTGCAAAGCTGGGTTGTCTTGTTTATTTTCCCCCCCACTAAATATAAAGGAATATATAGATATCTCACCTAATGGATCATGAATTTCAATTACTGGAGAAGGGCCACTCAGTGACACTGTGACCTCTTTCAGACTGGGATCAAAAGGAATTTGCCAAGTATTTACTGCCAAGGTTAAATGGTCTGTGGATAGGAGATGCACTTTGGAGGCCTGCACCGCTTCTTCTACCCACTTCAACACCTACAAGAAAAAATAATATTCATGTCACAAGACAGCATGTAAATCTTCCATAGCACTCCTGATAAGACAAGCAGGATTTGGATCCATATCAGGTAACTACAGCAGCCCAGAAATAAAAAAGACAAGAGTTGCAATATCCGATTTGGGGATATCTGTAGGACAATAAACAAACACACAAACAAACCTCTAAGCTAAGGTATGCCTTTATTTTCATTGTGCGATATGAAAACAGACAGAAAAACATTTGCCATGTAAATCATATACTAAATAAAATGGATATGGTAGGAAAACATCAAGGGCCAAATTCTTGTCACCTTACTCATGTGATTATCCTTGCTGAAGCCAATGGGACTGTTCACAGCAGTGGTTCTCAACCAGGGACTAGGGGCCCCCTGGGGGGCCGTGAGCAGGTTTCAGTGGGGTAGCCAAGCAGGGCTGGAATTAGAGTTGCTGGGGCCCAGGACAGAAAGCTAAAGCCCCAACGCATGGGGCTGAAACTGGGGCCCTGAGTCCCGCCACCCGGGGCTGAAGCTGAAGCCTGGGCAATTTAGCTTCGCGGGGCCACCTGTGGCTTAGGCCCCAGGCAATTGCCCTGCTTGCTACCCATAATGCTGGCCCTGGCTTTTATATGCAGAAAAACAGTTGTGGCATAGGTGGGACATGGAGTTTTTATAGCATGTTGCGGAGGACCTCAGGAAAAAAAAGGTTGAGAACCTTTGGTTCACAGGATTAAGGCAAGTAAGCATAAAACTAAAAAAAGAAACTTATTGTGTAAATAATACCATATGTAATTAACCTATGAAATTTGCTGCCACGAGATATCACTGAGACCAAGAATAACAAGATTTTTAAAGGATTAGATATGGATACAGATATTGAGAACCACCACAGTTATAATGGTACATAAACTCTCATGCTTCAGGACATATGCTAATCATGAATTCTCTGGGTTAGGAGAAAACTTTCCTTATACATGTTATGCCATAACATTTATGGAGTTTCTTGAACCTTCTTTTGAAGCATCTGGGACAAGCCACCATCATAGCTGGGATACTGGACTAGCTGGACTGCTGGTTAGATCCAATGTGACAATTCCTATGACACTACATAGACATTTACATCAGGACTGAATTTGTCCTTAGGAGAATTATGACCCTTAATATTTTGCATTTGTGAACAGCATCAAATCAACACGAGAAAGTAAAATAAATTACCAGAGTCCAAGGCTCTGTATTTCCGCTGCAGCTGCCAATGATCTTACTAACAGAGCTGTGAACAATTTGGCACATTTGCTTGACAGCGCTTTATGCAAATTGTTTTTGGTACTGGTTCACATTCCCTGAGTTTCAGAGTCAATCAAGCCCTATAGTTCAAGGCTAAAGCCAGTCAAAACCACTAAACATCAAGTCAAAATCATGCAAGGTTTAAACCTTTCAGTAAACCTGGGCTGAGTTTCAAATTTTTACTACAGGAGAAAGCTTGACATGTTTCATGGGATTTCAGGTTTCACTGTGTTTGCATAGCTCTTATCATGCTTAAAACAAAGAGCATCGCCATGACACCTCTTTAAATGAGCTGTTACAGGGGAAACAGTGAAAGTGATATGGCCATAAGTGCCGACTCCGTAAGTGCTCCAGGGCTGGATCACCCACGGAGAAAAAATGGTGGGTGCTGAGCTCCCACCGGCAGCCTCCCTATCAGCACCTCCACCTTCCCGAGCACCTCCTGCCCACCAGGGGCCCTGCCGAACCCCACCGATCAGCACCTCCCCTTCCCTCCCGGTGCCTCCTGCCGGCCGCAATCAGCTATTTCGCAGCATGCAGGAGGCTGGGTGGGGAGGGGGGAAGAGTGAGGACGCAGTGCACATAGGGAAGGGGGTGGAGTGGGTGTGGGAAGAGGTGGGGCAAGGGCTGGGCCTTGAGGGAAGGGGTGGAGTGGGGGCGGGGACTGGGGCGGGGACAGGGGTTGAGCACCACCCTCCCCACCCCCGGCATGGAAAGTCAGTGCCTGTAGATATGGTCCTATCTAGATTCACTGAAGCACTACAATGGTGCAGCTGCACCACTGCAGCACTGTACATGTAGAGAAGCCCTAAGGTGGAAGACATGGTTAGGGAAGAATATGAGAAACACAGGGAGTCATATGGCATCAAAAAAGAACCATTACATTATAAGCTTTCCATTGACAGATGGTTAACTTATTAATGAAAAAAAATTCCCCACATTTTCTGCAAAAATGTTCCATTTTCCACCCACTAAGAATCAAAACCAAATCTCAAACACTTTCAGCAGCAAAAAGGGGGAAGGGAAGGAGAAAAGGGAGAGGAAGGTGGAAAAGCGGGGCGGGGGAATCATTTTTCTTTCTTTTCCATGAAAAACAGAATTTTTTAAACAAAAGTTTTCTGCCAAAATATCAATTTAGAGATTGAGGATGAAGAATCATAGAATCATAGACTTTAAGGTCAGAAGGGACCATTATGATCATCTAGTCTGACTTCCTGCACAAGGCAGGCCACAGAATCTCACCCACCCACTCCTGTATCAAACCCCTAACCTATATCTGAGCTACTGAAGTCCTCAAATCGTGGTTTAAAGACTTCAAGGTGCAGAGAATCCTCCAGCAAGTGACCCATGCCCCACACTGCAGAGGAAGGCGAAACCCCCCCCAGGGCCTCTGCCAATCTGCCCTGGAGGAAAATTCCTTCCCGACCCCAAATATGGTGATCAGCTAAACCCTGAGCATGTGGGCAAGACTCACCAGCCAGATACCCAGGAAAGCATTCTCTGTAGGAGCTCAGGTCCCACCCCATCTAACATCCTATCACAGGCCATTGGGCATATTTACCGCTAATAGTCAAAGATAATTAATTGCCAAAATTAGGCTATCCCATTATACCATCCCCTCCATAAACTTATCAAGCTTAGTCTTGAAGCCAGATATGTCTTTTGCCCCCACTGCTCCCCTTGGAAGGCTGTTCCAGATCTTCACTCCTCTGATGGTTAGAAACCTTCGTCTAATTTCAAGTCTAAACTTCCTGATGGCCAGTTTATATCCATTTGTTCTTGTGTCCACATTGGTACTGAGCTTAAATAATTCCTCTCCCTCCCTGGTATTTATCTCTCTGATATATTTATAGAGAGCAATCATATCTCCCCTCAGCCTTCTTTTGATTAGGCTAAACAAGCCAAGCTCTTTGAATCTCCTTTCATAAGACAGGTTTTCCATTCCTCGGATCATCCTAGTAGCCCTTCTCTGTACCTGTTCCAGTTTGAAATCATCCTTCTTAAACATGGGAGACCAGAACTGCACACAGTATTCCAGATGAGGTCTCACCAGTGCCTTGTATAATGGTACTAACACCTCCTTATCTCTACTGGAAATACCTCGCCTGATGCATTCCAAGACCTCATTAGCTTTTTTTCACGGCAATATCACATTGGCGGCTCATAGTCGTCCTGTGATCAACCAATACTCCGAGGTCCTCCTCCTCCTCTGTGACTTCCAACTGACGCATCCCCAGCTTATAACAAAAATTCTTGTTATTAATCCCTAAATGCATGATTTTGCACTTTTCACTATTAATATATTGAGATATACCTATCTCATAGAACTGGAAGGGACCTTGAAAGGTCATCAAGTCCAGTCCCCTGCTTTCACTAGCAGGACCAAGTACTGATTTTTGCCCCAGATCCCTAAGTGGCCCCCTCAAGGATTGAACTCATAACGCTGGGTTTAGTAGGCCAATGCTCAAACCACTGAGCTATCCCTCCCCCACGAAATTTCATCCTATTACTATTACTCCAGTTTACAAGGTCATCCAGATCTTCCTGTATGATATCCTGGTCCTTCTCTGTATTGACAATACCTCCCAGCTTTGTGTCATCCGCAAACTTTATTAGCACATTCCCACTTTTTGTGCCAAGTTCAGTAATAAAAAGATTAAATAAGATTGGTCCCAAAACCGATCCCTGAGGAACTTCACTAGTAACCTCCCTCCAGCCTGACAGTTCACCTTTCAGTATGACCCGTTGTAGTCTCCCCTTTAACCAGTTCCTTATCCATCTTTCAATTTTCATATTGATCCCCATTTTTTCCAATTTAGCTAATAATTCCCCATGTGGAACTGTATCAAATGCCTTACAGTAAGAAGGTTCCCACTAATTCTGGGGGCTTACCTACATGGAAAAGTTTGATGAGTTAGAACTCGTTTACACAGGAGATAACAGATTATACAAATACAGATTAGAAAATACAGATTACGCAAATATATGAATCTAATTAGACCATTCTGAAGCTATATTAAGGACTGTAATCCATCTCTCCATAATATAATCCAATGGCCTAAATTTGTTACAATTACAATATTAAAATTATTAATTGATATCTCACATTATTACGTCTCCAAGGATTCCAAAGTGCTTGACAAACTTTAGATAAAAACAGCAACAACAGAAATGTACCCATCCCTGTAGTTGGAATCAGAGATGCGCTGACAATGGTCCTGATCCTGCAAGCAATTACACACATGCACAACTTTAGGCATGTGAATCATCACACTGACTTTAACCTCCACTGATGCCAAATGATGGAGTTCACTTAGGGTACATCTACACTGCAATTAGAGACCTGAGCCCGAATGTCCACACTGCCATGTTTAGCCCCGGAGCCCAACGAGCCTGAGTTAATTGACCTGGGCTCTGACACTTGGTGTCATAGGGTAGATGTACCCTCAGATTACTTCAGTGGGACTGCTCATGTATATAAGGTTAAGCATGTGTGTTTGCAGGATTGGGGCCAGTATTTATGAAAAGGGTTTCCCATATTAGCGTTCCCATTAACCCATGATGAATCTTGTATAGCAGTTTGCAAAGCATACGATGAGAGGCTGTGGAATCTATTAATTTATTTCCCCATTTGAACACACATACTTTCTCATAACCATAACAAAGGAAGCCACTAAGCAAAGAGACCTAGAAACCTTGCTAACAAATTTTTATTAA